AATTACAGATACCTCCCTCTCCTAACCGACTCTTTCTAAAATACTCAAAAAAGTCCTTTTTTTGTAAATTCTTTTGAACCTTAACTTTTCTTATTATTGGGTTTCTTGGTCACGACCAGCTAAGGCTAAAGTTCCATTAAAAAGCGTTTCCACGTGTGTGCAGCCCTTATTTGTCCTTTGTTCTTTGGCCTTTACTTCCCCCCCCCCCTCCCTTCCTTTCTTAGAATTCAACATTTATGATATGTTTTAAATATAGATGTAAACTTGACCTTGTATGATTGAAATAAAAGGACAAAAAACACAAAATTTATTGTGGAGTTTCGTTGTTGGAAAAGGTGGTATATAGATTATTTTAGGGTGATTTTTAAAAATAGCCAGATTTACAACTGGTCGTTCAAAAATAGTCCAGTTTCAAAAGTAATCGAAGTTTAGCCACTTTTTATGTAAAGATAAATCTGAGCGAAAACACTGTTCAAAACCCGAAAAATACTCCAGTATATTATGCTTGAGTTCCAGCATAAGTATACTTGAACTCCAGCATATTATACTGGAGTTCCAGGATAGTATGCTGGAACTCCAGCATAATATGATGGAGTTCCAGCATAAATACACTAGAACTCCAGCATAATATACTGGAGTTCCAGCAAGTATAATGGTCCAATATAATATATTGGAGTTTGGAGCACCAGTGCTCCAGTCTCCAATATATTATACTGGAGCCAGCAAAGTATACCGGTCCAGCATAATATGCTGGAGTTCATACACAAGTGCACCGAAACTCCAGTATATTATGCCGGATCAGTCTCTATTACAGCAAAGCGGTGGCTATTTTTCATTGACTTGGTAAACGCTGGCTATTTTTGATTGACCAGTCCGAAAACTGGCTATACCGTGAAATTTTGGCATTATTTTAACGTATATGCTTTTATATGGATTTTGTGTTTTACTTCATATTTTTGTCGATAGTTTTCCCTTTTCCTTTTTTAACGATTTACATAGAGAAAATTTTAATATCCTAAATATTAGGATTTTGTACTTAATTCAAATAAGGAATGATTTAATAAGTAAGATTTTAATTGATTTTGAATTCCTTAATATTAGAAAAATAACTCAAATTACAATTTTATCCAATATGATATATATTTTTAATTAAAGGGTAAAAAAGGCGAACGACATTTTCGCTAAGGGACTTCATACTTTTAATATAGTATATAGATATAAATAGATAGATTATGTTAAAACTCGTCTTATGATGTAATATCATACAAATTTTAAGAAAACACGCGTAATTTTAACTGATGTAACCCATCAATAAACATCTCGGGGAGAGGCTATAACGACTTTATATTGTAGTGTAGACTAATTAACTAAAGCATAACTATAATAATTACGTCCTAATCTCAAGCTAATTAGCTGGGCATATAAATCTATACTACTCCTATTTTTATTAGGACAACACATTGCTTAGCTGACCACATCTTGTCATATTTTATATATAATGTGATGTGTAATAAGGTGACTAATTATACGTTGTTCATTAATTTACAGTAATCCTCCTAAGGGTTAAAAGTCAAAATTATCTGTGAACTATCACATTTAGTTTGAAATTATTCTCCATCCACCTATTGAGCCAAATATACTCTCCACTTCAAGATTTTGGCTCAAATCTGTCCCTATAGTTAACAACCCAGATCCGATTATAAAATATTATTATTTTTAATGACGTGACATTATTTTATTAGTTGAATTAAAACCCCATCCCATATATGTTCAACCCATCCATTTTACCCGACCCATCAGACTAAACCCGTTAAAATCATTTAATCCGTCATTGCTCATTTTCACGAACCACCCCTTCTTCTAATACGACTAGATAAGTGTGGTGTTTTAGAAGAAGGGGTTCTATATATAGATGGAGGAGAAAAAATACGTGCTTTTACATACTATTATAACTTTTGGAACTTCTACGCAGAGATTCGATTTTAGTGGTCCAGTGAATTGGAATATTAAATAGGACGCTGGATAAAATGCTACTCTCTCCGGTCCAAAATAAGTGATTTTTTGGATGTTTTCACACAAATTAAGAAATTTTCCTTTTAGCATTAATTAGCAATAGAATTTACCATATTAACCTTTACTATCTCACATAAACACTCCTAACACATACACCATTTACTTCAAGGACAATGTAGGAAAAAAATAATTAATTCATTTTTGAAATCTGGAAAAATCACTTATTTTGGACCACAAGAAAAAAGCCAAAAAATCACTTATTTTGGAGCGGAGGGATTAGTACGTAGTATTTGAAATACCAAGAGGAAAAAAATATCACCAACATTATATGTTTATTTGAAGTCGTTAAAGAATTTATTACAATGGATAGTGAACGTAAAAAATTTGAATTGCAAGCTCTTGGTAATTGAGCCATTCCCTTGAGAACGAGGGGGATTGGCATTCATTAACAAGAATATTGTGCGACCATTCGATTTTAGTGGCTTTTATCTTAGCTTTCCAAACAAATTAAAAGTCAATAAAACCATAGAGAATAAAATGAAAATTAATTTCAGTTCCTAAATTTACGATAGGCTTCTGGTTAGCAATGGCTTGCAATTCATTGCCATTGAATGGATGAAAGGATTGCTTTAACATCATTTTGCTTTATGATAGTTAGAGAGGAGTCGAACCTAAAATTCTTTTTTCAGGGTTTGAGTCCATTTCTTGATTTATATCTGAATTTTTCAGTTTCTTTTTCCCAATCCTCTATTTGGTCATTTTGAGCTACCCCATTTTGCTGATTTCTTATATATATATTTCATTCACTTTCTTCCATCCTACTGAAGAAGCTGGTAAAATTCTAATTATATCTTCACTTTTTTCCTCTAAATATCATATATAAATATGATTTTAATTTGTCTTCACCTTTATTTTTTCCAGATTCAAGAAAACAAATGCATGATTTTTGAGTGAAAGAAACATCTTCTTTAGTAGCATTTAGAAGAAGAAAAAGTTGTAGACCTATATATATAATTAAAAGCAGCTGAGGATGGCCACAAAGGTGAAAGGCCTTTTAAAGGCCTTAGGTATTTCTCAGATATTTGGTAAGCAATGTTCCTTCATTTAATTTCCTTATTTTTTATTACTACACTATAGGGGTGTGGCAAAATGGTTAAAAGAAAACAGTTAATCACTCATGATCCACTAAAAAATGGGTTGGATAATGAACTTTTTAAAAACGGGTCAAATATGGATAAGAATCATATTATCCATTTAGAAAATGGATAACCAATGAGTCTAAATTTTACATTTTGTAAAGCCTCAAATTGGGGGTTCCCAAGTTAGGGAGACTAAGAATTCTCCCAAAAGTGATCATATGCAAGAAGTCATGGATAATATTGCTACCTATATTATCCGCCAGTTAACCCGTTTTTTATCCGTATTAAATATGGGCCGGGTCGGATATTTTATTCGTTTTTTATTACCCGTTTTCGATCCGAACCATATCCGACCAGACCCGCCCGTTTGCCACTCCTACTACAGTATCATTTTTCTCTTTGTTGAAATTATTCAAGGTGATTGTTCATGTTTCAAATGTGCACGTATTGGGGGACCCAAATTTATTGTTTACTTTTCGTAGTCAAGATTATTAATAATGAGGGGAATAACAAAATGATATTGCAGAAGGGGAAAAAGAAGCAGAAATGCAGATTGGTTTACCTACAGATGTAAAGCATGTTGCCCATATAGGATGGGATGGACCATCCGTTGAAACTCCCAGCTGGGTAATAATTTTCATAGTTTTATGTTAAAACTTTATCACATGTTGTTGGATCATTGGATATCCACTTTATATGTTTGTGCAGATGAAAGAATTCAAAGAACCTGGAAAATTTCATACTGCCCCTTTGGGTCCTCCATTAGATCCTAATGATCATCCTGATATCAAATTTGTTTCTCAAGGTAACTTTTCATTCACACTGAAAAATGACATTTTACTACTGCATATCATTTGTAAAATTGAATTTAACTGCAGATGAAAACCAAAAGTACAAAAATGCAAATTCTTCATTACCAGATGACCAACCTGAAGTGTCAAAGACATCTAGGCGCCATTCTTCATCAGAAACTGGGAGTGGGAGTGGGAGTGGGAGTACTACTTCTCCTAAGAAAGAGTCCAAATCCAGGAGACGACACACCAAAGAGTCGTCCGATGGTTCAAGGTCAAGCCGACACAGCCGGCCTGGCTCAGGTGGTGGTGGCTCTGATTCTCCAGCAAGGGACCTCCCGGACATACCCAAAAAAACAAGGCGGAAGAAATCCAAGGAGGATGGTGGAGTGGGGTCCGGCTCGTCCCGAACCTCTAAATCCAAAGCCACCACCTCTTCTAGTACAGCACCAATGGATAATGGAACAGACACAGGATGTGAAAGTTCCATGTTAAGTTCAAGAAACACTGAGATAGAGAAAGAGTAGTGGCATTGTTTAAGAAAAACAAAGAACATAAGATGGACTCAACATCAGTCAAATTTTTTGTGTAGTTTAAGTTATAACTGGCCACCTGTTTTGATATACCAAAATTTTCCTATACAATTATTAGAACCTATATTTACAATCTAACCTTTTGATACCTTGTTTGCAATGTAGATTCAGTTTCCTTTTTCCTAGTTTTTTTTTTCTCTTTTCCTTTTAAGCCATTCCATTACTCTGAACTCTGAATCTTATCATAGCACAATACATCATTATCCTGTATCCAACTTATATTTGTTTCTTAATTAATGTAATAGTTGGTCATCATTGTCCCATGTAGATTTTTCCAATGATAGTATATGATTGTTCCTTGGAGAATACACTGGAAAACACAACATTCAAGTCTGTCAATCTGTTTCACATACACCACAGACCTATGTTGCTCGGACTCTCCGAAAATGTTGCCGGGTGCGTGTCGGATTCTCCAAAAATGTGCGGCAACATTTTGGAGAGTCCGCACAACATAGCCACAGACAAACATTGCAGTTAAAAACTGAAAATAGAAAACCAAGAATGTTTGCTATATGAAAACTCCTGAAATTAAGAACTTAATAATTACATCTCTTGGATTTTTTCTCCTTGAACCCCGAAAAAAAAAAAACAGATAGTAAATTCTACTAGAAACCCAAAAAAATGTCTATCAACAATTTCCTATCCTTAAGTCATTGATCAGTATATGTCCAAGATTGTCCACTAGCACAGGAAACATAAAATTACAAGAAAAATAAGATAATATGAAGCAGGTAACAGTGAAGATGCTCTAGAGAAAGGGACATATTTGGGAACATAGGCTTTGTTACACAACTTTAGTTGCCCCAAGCTACCACTAACATTAGAAATTCTCAAGTCTTCATCTGCACAAAGTTGAGGGTTGCCTTCCAATTTCAACTTTTCTCCAACTTTGGAGACAAATTGTGCAGAGAATGGAAGTTTTCCACTCAAATTGTTGTTCTGCAAATGTAACTCATTCACATGTTCTAATGCCCCAAACTCTTCAGGCAATGTCCCTTCCAACTTGTTATTATCAAGCCCCAAATAGCAAATCTTTTTCAAATATACACCCATAGAAGAAGGAATATTCCCAATTAGTCCTGTTTTTGATAATCCTATCCCTACTATACCCCCAAGATTCTCCCATATTTCTGGAATTTTCCCTCCTAGTAAATTCCCACTCAGATACACTTCCCTCAAACTAGGCATCTCTGCCAAAAACAATGGAATCCCAATATTGGCAAAATGATTGTAACTCAAGTCCAAAAACTCCAAACTCTTCAAACCCTTTAAACTTTGAGGAATTTTTCCAGACAATTTGTTGTAGCTAAAGTCAAGCTTCAAAACTTGAGTCAAGTTTCCTATAGACTCAGGAATATTTCCTTCAAGCTCATTTTGACTGAAATCAAGAACCCTGAGTTTCTTCAGACTATTTAATCCCACTGGAATTTCACCACCAAATTTGTTTCTTGAAAGTGTCAACTGCTCTAAGTTGATCAAACCACCAACCCCATCTGGTATTTTCCCAGAAACAGCACTTCCACTCAAAACTAACCTCCTCAAACTCGTCAAGTTACCAACTTTTTCACTTAAAACGCCAACAAGACCCGGGTTCTCCATGAAAACCAGCTCCTCAACAGAAGAAGGCAAAGACCCAAAGTCAAGCAAAGAAACCTCATTTTCAACGAAACATCCGTAAACAAAGATCTTTCTTAGGTAAGAAAAAGGGGCGAAAAGGGAAGCATTTAGAGTACTATTAGGAGTACAAGGAGGGTTAGGAGCATAATCTGAGACATAACCAAGACTAATCTCAGTTACATGAGCAGTAAATGTTGTGTTTGAGTTTTCTTGAACAAAGTAGTCACAAACAACCCCATGTGGGGAAGAGGAACAGAGATCATCAGGGAATAAAGAACGCCACGGGATTTCGGAGTTAATAGACTCAAGAACATTGTAAACTGATTCTTGTTCCACCATGTTAAGAGCAGGCTGAGAAAACACAAGAGTAATAGTCATGAACGCCCACACAAAACAAAAGTTGAGAACAAGAAGGGAGAGTTTTGGTAAGAAAACCATGGTTTTGGTTAGAGAATGAAAACAAAAAACTGAAAAGTTTGAGAAGTGACAAGAAAACAGTGTATGATAATAAGGGTATTTAAGAGGGAGGGAGAAGAAAAGAGGATGTCTGTCTTGAAAAATGAAAGAGAAGGGTATCAAAGAGACAGGTTTTGTTGCAGAGATTTGCTTTACTGTTAACATGCTACGTTCCTTATGGTCAAATGACCGATTTGCCACTTTTTTTGTTTCTTTAGTTGTCTGTCCTTTAAGCTTCTGTACATTTTTACAAGTATTTTGTCTTCTTTGTTGTTGCGTGAACAAGGATGAGAAAAAGAAAGCACATGCTTTTCCTCTTCTTCAACGACAGTCAATGTAGTGAATTATTCATTTATCATAATTTTTCTATGAATAGCAAACAAATTAAAAAGGCTTTTACTTTATGAAATGAAACTTTACTACTCGTACTTGAATTTTCATAATATGTCATCTCAATAAACAACCTTTCACTAGCAAGTTAATTCCAACTATTGGTGCAAAATAATTCCCAAAAATTGACATAGTGATAGATTGATATGTCATACGGAATAAATAATCAGTCGTTGGTATGTGTACACATTATGTTAAACCTATAACCAAATTCACTTGACTCAATTAAAATTTGAACTTTGGATGAGTTAAAAGACAAGCTCATAAATGTGGCGTGAGCTAACTCCCTTTGGTCCTACTTATATGTTGTTTATTTAAGGTTTTGAGCTTTTTGGTACAATTGTTAAGAAAACTACTAAAATCATTTATTATAAGGTATTTGGCTAAATTATCTTTGTTTCCTCCCTAAATGATTAATTAATGATCATAAGTTCTTGGATGAGTAAAAGTAGATTTTTTTTTAAAAAAAAAATTGTCTTCTTGATACTCAAATAAAGTGAGTACTTTCTTTTTAGAGTATATTATATTTTTTTTAAAAAAAGAGGAGAAATAGACTAGTACTTGATATTGCACTAAGACGTGTATGTAATAGTCCATTTATATTCCAACGAGAGGGCTTATACATTTGTTGAGACAAGTGATAATTACACTGATATCATATATTCAAATCCTAATTACCACATTAGGTGTAAGTCCGGTCCAACATTGGAGAACATGATAACCTTAGCAATATGTGTTTTTGTAGGTTAACAGATTCGGTTACCACCAATACACAAGTAGTGAGTCGTCAATGTAGTACAAAAATTTAATACCATATATTTGTACAAGTAACGAGAAATAAGTATAAGGAAAAAAACCATTTTTTATTGGAGTATTTATTGCAGGAAGCAACAAACAAGGAGGGGTAAAAAGGACTTTAGAGTAAAAGGCATACAGTTACGGCATTTGGCATGTAAGGGGTCAATGCCAATGATCAGTCCAACACAGGCTACCATTTATATCCCTCCCCCAACCCAAATTGCATAACCCCAATTTTCACTCTAATTAGGACTGCAACTCTATGAACAGTCGATATTAACTTGATGCTGCTGCTGCTACTACAACATGTAGCTTGATTAGCTTGTTGCTTTTATTAAAAAAACAGTGGGGAAAAGGTTGTAAAGTCACTGAGTTGCCTGATTAAAACCTGCGGGCAATAAAGCAAACCGCAAACGCCGACCGCGACATGGCGGCAGCCGCCGACTTGTCGATACATTGTCCTTTCTGCTTTTTGTTCCATTGACAGCGACGTCTAACTGACTGGGAAATTGCCTGACTTTTGTAAGGTCCACGTGGCTGAGATCTGTACGTCCGAATATCGTTCTCATGGGAAATATGAACAGAAGCATGCGAATTCCATTTCCAGGCATTTTATTCCCCCCAATCCAATTCGCGTTTCATCTTTGTGGGGCCCGCTGTTCCCCTTTTTTACACTCTGGTCTGATCTGGTTTTCACCCTTCGAATTCAAATTTTGTCCTACTATTACAAAAGGATAGTAATAACATGTTTGGCTTTTAAAATTAGCTTATATTAAAAAAATAGTTTTGGTTAAAAATAATTATGTTTGGCTAAGCGATTTGAAAAACAATTTTGAGCAGTAATTACTCCGGTCTGTAAAAAGTAATTTTAAGTGTAGTTTTCGAAAGTGTTCAGACAGAAACTATTTTTTCCTTTTTCTCAAAATAACTTCCGATTCTACTCAAAAATATTTTTTCTTTCCTAAAAGTTTGATCAAATACCTCAACTCAAAAGTACTTTTAGCCTTGAACAAGCTTATAGCCCGTTTGGCCAAGCTGCAAAAATCAACTTATTTTGAGAAGTATTTTTTTTTCCAAAAGTGCTTTTTTTCAAAAGTACTTTTGGTGAGAAACAGTTTGTGTTTGGCTGATTAGTTTGAAAAGCATTTCTGAGCAGCAATTAGTGTTTGGCCAAGCTTTAAAAAACTGCTTCTAAGTGTATTTTTCTCAAAAGTGCTTATCAAAAAAGTGTTTTTTTGAGAGAAGCTACTTTTTTCTGCTTCTCCAAAACTGCTTCTGCTTCTCCTCAAAAGCACTTTTTTTCTTCCAAAAGCTTGGCCAGACACCTCAATTTTTGGCCAAAAGTGCTTTTGGAAAAAGAAAAAAAAAGCACTTTTGACCAAAAAGAAGCTTGGCCAAACAGGCTATAACTGGAGGCCATTTTAAGTTTGATTAAATTTGGATAATTAAAGTAATAGGATCAACGATAAATTAAAATCAGTTGCTTAAATCAATCAATATAAAATATGTTGAGACGTGCTCACCTAAGAATGGCTGTCCAAATAAAGCACAATAGTTGTGTATTCGTATGTCAATCCAATTAACTTGAAATTGAGATGATGGTTAAATAAAAGTTTATTTTGTTTCATTCTTTATTCGTAAGATATTTTCCTTTTATACAATTCATCAATTGTGCAATCATAATTAAGCATTATGTATTCTCATTTTAATTTTTAATTATTTCGATAAAATTATTTAATTTAGTGTAAATATCGGACGCAAATAAATATTTGTATATTCTAGTGTGGTAGGCTAGACGTGGTTGTAAGTTGTAAATTGTAACCTCTCTCGAGCTAGTGGTTGAGGAGTAAAAAATATCAATTTAAAGATATACATCATTTTGTTTTATTTGTATGACGATAATTCATTAAGTAGTAAAAGTATTTTTAATCGCTTTTGGGTTTCAATATATGTGCAAATTTTGCAATAGTACGTCTATAAGAATAAAACGAGTAAATTAGAGATATTAAAGTTATCAGAATATAAAAAAACGCTAGTGCTTCTAAAGTGGATTAAAGACGGTGAAATGTCAAATGAATTTATGAAATGTACTATTAGTCAAGATAATTTTAACACATTATATCAGATTAATCTCTTTGTTAGTCAGTAATATCATAACATTATATATACTTACTAGTTATAAGCAAGATTTAAGTAATTGAACTTTATATTGTTTCCTTAAATAATGCATAAAGTGAAAAAGAATTCACACTGAAGTTACCAGAAAAGAGAAAACCAAACCCGGAATTCAATTTGTTAGTACTATACATTAATTATCCGCCACTTTGGCTTTTGCATGCCTTGGGTAAAAATTTTTCCCTTACTGTATTTATTTGTCATATTCTCTTCAGCAGCCGATCGAAGTCTATTCCGTTCATTTACTAGCGTTGCACTCCTGTAATTAATTTTATTCCAAAGGATGAAAAATGGTATACTAGTAATAAGGTTAGAAAAATATACTAGCTGTTCTTCTGCATTCTATTTAAACAAACTTCTTCTCATCTAAAATGATAGTATATATAATACCTAATTTTAATCTCCAATTGTGTTCCTTCATAGATAATCTATGCCATTTATGTTTTCTCTCTCTATCTACTTGTTAATGTTTGACCAAAAAGTGTTAATCTTTTTATTAAACTAATTAAATGAATGATAATGGATAAATTCTAGTTAAACATAATAAATCCTAGATCCAAGATTGATGGATAGTAATAGTCTAGAAACCGCACTTAAAGCTATTAAATGCCTAAAGGATGTTTAATGATATTCTTATGAAAGAATAGGGGGACAAGGACAAGCAATAAATATGATAAATGGCAATAAATATAAATAGAGAGAATAATTCACACAAATGTATAACGAGGTGGATGATTCTCTTTTTGACAATGATGTAAGATAACCAAACGTGAGAATATCAAATACTTTATTGGATCTGATGTGGGAAAGCTTGGACAGAATAGCAAATCGGATCTTATGTGAAGATAGTGTTTGTAGTTATTGTATTAGTAAAAAATAGACTCGCCAAGTGGGTCGATTAAATGGCGACACGTGTCAGCAAAGTTTGGAGAAAAGTGAAGAATGACATGTAAAGATGATATGTGAAACACCCCCGGGACAGAACATACTCGTACCGTGCCTGTTAGCCTCGGAACTGATCATCATAAAATAGCCCGAATCAGGTGCGGGAGAATATCTCATAATTACAAAAGAGGAAGGAATCAATTAATCCCGGATTATATGAGATTTACCATCATTACACCATCAGTTACAAATCAATTATTAATAAATGCAATAAATGATTGTAACGGTCAGAACAAGGCAATCAATTACAAGATTGACTCATCAGTTACGAAATTAACTCATCAGTTACAGAATTAACTCATCAGTTACGGAAGTCCAGCATTTACACTGCTGTTACAAGTCTTCCAAAAGTAATGGATGGATTGAGTAAATGCTCATAATGGACCCATAATTCAAGAAGAATAGTTACTTAGATTTAGCCCTATAAATAGACATACTTTTACCACCATGAAGGAAATCTAATTTTCTTCTCTACAATTCTATACATTGTAATTCATAGCATCTTGCTCTCAAGTTAGCCATAGTTTGACCTTTCAAGCTCTGTTCGGCTCATTATCCTATCAAGGATCATTCAATAAGAATTCTTTCTTCTCTGCTTTATTTTTATTATATTATCTGTCATTGAATTTATTTTTCACCTCTCTATCACGTTGCATTAACGAAAATTTATATCTTTCGGATTGAATTGGTTGCTTGTGGCCCGTCATATAAAATTATTGCTTTGACCTTGAAAACTATTTTTTGGGTTAAATAGTTTGGTTCCATTGCCGGGACCTCAAGCAAATTTGCTATTCATCCAAAGATAGTAACAATTTTTGTTAATATTCCCTTGTTTTTAGTTTAAACCTTCATGATGGCTAAAATTTGCCAATCAACACAGTTCAGAACAACCTAGTTGGAGATGGCTTTACAAGCAAAATAAAAAGAGAAGAATAGCCATGATAATGATAAGCAAGCAACAAGCAGAGAAAAATGGAGAATGTATATCCGTGTATTGGTACCGCAACTATTAGTACCAGAACAGATTATAATGATCTGTACGAAACAGTTTCGGAACATGAGGTTCAGATACACCAGG